CGCAAAGCCTTCGTTTTTAGTGATTTTACTGGTCGGCGTTAAAAACTGTAATGAGATGGATTAAATTGACGCTATAATCATCTTACTGTGATGATTACTTCTACCTCTCATTATGGCCAACTGTCACGCCATTACTGTATGGCGTTAACCTGCTCGGGCCTATAGATAATTGATTAACACTGTTGCCAAACAACCGAGGATCCTCCGCCTAGATTATAGGCTGAATATCTTTGTGTGGTCTATCTTTGACAATCTGAATCTGTCAAACTGATGTGACTGTAATCAATCGCTTTGTAATGAAGGAGCGACATGCGTCAGGTTCACTGTTAATAAAACAAAGTCAACCCACTAAAATCGAAACTGCCGTTGCACTTTTTAGACCAATTTGAATGTTATTACTGATAAAAAAAAAATCGAGTTTAAATTCAGAATCAGTTATACATCACAGAGATATATGTGATAACCAGTTACTGCATGAAGACAAAGTTGTTATATAATAAATTAATATTTTACGGTGTGCGTAAGTTTCCTGTCATATACGATGTGAGGTCAGGATGCCAGTCACGTTAAACGCATGCATGCATCTTTTATTTTAATAATTGAGCTGTATTAAAATCTACTGGGCATTCTGATTATCCTGCGCGAGAGGCATCATGACGACAGCTCCCTATAGTGCAGACGGCAAAAGAAGAACAAGTTCGCCGCGTGACATTTTCCATTTTTGTTTTACTTTTTAATGAGCACATTTTCTTCATTAAAATTCCTTTTTGGTCACAGGTTTGGCACTTAATTTCTGAGGCCCTAAACATGTAAACGTCTCAGAAATATTATGCGTTTAGTTTGGAGGCACGTTTTCGAAACATCATGTGTTTTTTTTTTTGTTTCAAAAAGTGTAACTTTTGAATAGGTAATAATTTGTAATTATTTTTACTGCATATGCTTTAAAGTCTTGTAAAGATGTCTTTAAAGTCCTGTAAAGATGCCAGTAATGTCTTTCAGCCCATAGTGTGTTCTGTATTTTAACAGACACTCCTTCCTATCGTTTTATCGACGACTCAGAGGGGGTTGCTTCCAGATTTCCAGCAAATGACAACATTACGTTCAGCATCTCTGAGCACAATCGTAAAGGTCAAAATGACGCTTTGACGTTTTCAGTGAAAGGCGCTGTTGCGCGCTGGGTGGTGCTGAAATCTAGTGCAGCTTCAGGCGTGATTGGCAAACCTGACAGTGATTGACGTGTCCATGGCAACCAGGCAGCCAATCTGACAATTCCAATAGAATATCGGCAGCAGGGGCTAAATGTTCTTTTATTTTGCTCCTCAGAAAACACCTTGCTTCCAGTTTTGTATGCGTCCATGGCAACCAGGCAGCCAATCTGACAATTCCAATAGAATATCGGCAGCAGGGGCTAAATGTTCCTTTATTTTGCTCCTCAGAAAACACCTTGCTTCCAGTTTTGTATGCTCACACTCAATCAAAGAAAAGATTTTGCCGTTCAGGCTGCTTGAGCCTGCCGCACGGCATCGCTCCTCAGCTCGTTTTGTGACACGGCTGTTAACTTTTGCCGTTTTCTGACTGACACGCTGAACAAAAAGCCGGACGAGACAGACGAGGAGCAGCACCAGACAGGAGGACCAAAAGAAGAGAGAGATTACAGTCTCCATGTTCCAGCTGCCCATCTTGAATTTCAGCCCCCAGCAGGTCGCGGGGGTCTGCGAGACGCTAGAGGAGAGCGGCGACGTGGAGAGGCTCGGCCGCTTCCTCTGGTCACTCCCGGTGGCGCCGTCCGCCTGCGAAGTCCTCGGGAAGAACGAGTCTGTCCTGCGCGCGCGCGCGGTCGTGGCCTTTCACGGGGGTAACTTCCGCGAGCTCTACCAAATACTAGAGAACCACAAATTCACCAAGGACTCACACGCGAAGCTGCAGGCGCTCTGGCTCGAGGCGCACTACCAGGAGGCTGAGAAACTCCGTGGACGTCCGCTGGGACCCGTGGACAAGTACCGCGTCCGAAAGAAGTTTCCACTGCCTCGGACGATATGGGACGGCGAACAGAAAACGCACTGCTTCAAGGAGAGGACGCGGCATCTCTTGAGAGAGTGGTACCTGCAGGACCCTTACCCGAACCCGAGCAAAAAAAGAGAGCTGGCGCAGGCGACTGGACTCACGCCCACACAAGTGGGCAACTGGTTTAAAAACCGGAGGCAGAGAGACCGGGCGGCAGCAGCCAAGAACAGGTATAGAGATTTCCACTGAACTGCATAAAGGCGCTAATCATGTGCATATGATGTTCGCTTTGTTATTATTTATTACTTTACTGTCATTATCTTGATTCTTAAAAATAAATAAAACAAACAAACAAAATAAAACATTAGATTTCGTTGGAGTTTCTTGCGTAATTTACCTTAAAATTAATGTCCAAATCGACTAGTTATTGGCAAAGCTCCTTTTGTTCACATATTACCAAAACTAATTCTTTTACATATCTCTGCTGACGCATGCTGTTTCATGCCGGAATGATTTAATATTTTAAAAACACTACATAATAGATATAACAAATTAAAATATATTTTGTCTGGATTAGGAACCTTAAAAACCTCGTTTTAACAAACTGTAAAATTGACAGTATGCTTTAAAATCTGTAATTCATGGTTTGTTTTATATGCTGCAACATATATTTCTATCAATTATAAATGCTGAATACAATCTTTTTTTATATATAATTAGCATATGGTATTGAAGCTGTCTTAATGCTATTAGAAAAGTTTACCCTAAGTCTAAACAGTCACTATTTGATTTTAGCTCATGCAAACGCACTTACAACCTCTAACGTTTGCTTTAACAGCATACCATCGTCAAAAGATTTTTGTATTTTGCCACACTCAAACAAGGGGTGTTAATGGTGTGTTTAGTAAATATAGATTGACAATTCAATCTTTATCCAAGACTGATGAACTTAACCAGATATTACAGTAATGCATCAGAGAGCTGAGGACATTTATTTCAGATTGTCTCCATTGTAAACTGTAATCCTCACTGACATTTTGGTCTCTTTTCACCTCTGCAGGCTACAGCAGCAGGTTCTGTCCGGTGGCTCGGACCGATCGCTGAGGGAGGATGACACCACAGCAGACCGTCTGGGTCCCGCCTCAAGCCCAGAAATCAGTCTCTCGAGCAAGGCCGCCACCTCCGCCATCTTCATCACCTCCAGCGACAGTGAATGTGACATCTAACGTGACAGGCTTCAAAAGAGCAAACAGGAGAACTGTAAGAGACAATCTAACAACAACGACAAAAACAATTCGCAATATTATTTCATATTAATTTAATATGTAATTCACAAGATGGCTATAATTCACACGTGGCTAATCTAGGTGGGTTAATGTCTTGTGGCATTAAGATTTACATTATTCGACTATTAGGCTACAGTCACAACAAAGCAGTTTTTTTCCCTTAAACATATCGTTTTTGTAATTTCTCATTTTCAAAACCAGAGATTTGTTCACTATTTCAAGAGCCAGAGAACGAAAAAATAAAAGGAGAAAATGTATGTTTTTTTACATCCTTGCAAATATTTGCTTTTAATTGGATAAATAATAAATGTTTGTAAATATTTCAGAATATTTTAAAAGCATGGCCACGCTCTTCTTAGCGTTCAAATCTACTTAAGGTCGCAAATGAGTGAAGGAGCAGGCGCAAAAACACAGAGCCTGTTTCCCAACTGCATGAAGGGTTCACGGCGCGCACCTGGGTTTAACCCGCGCCATTCATTAACGCTCTCAATAAAAAGCACAAGCTGTATTTTTCAATCTTCTTTCAGTCTGAACAACGGCGGGGCCAAACCAAGTGTTCCTTCCGAGAAAATAGGAGAAAATAGGAGCCAAATCAAGGGAAGGGAAAGGAGCACGGCTTTATTTAAACACTGGAGAGAGAATGGTGGAAAATTTCCGTTTCTTTTGAGCTCTGGGGAGTGCAGGGTGGGACGATGAAAAAGTCTTTTTAGCAGTCAGTAAGGTTGTCAAATTGGTCAACGGTAATCAGCACTAATGACGAGTTGGAGAGGGCCGAGCTAACAAAGAAGCACCCCGCCTCCCCCTCCCCAAAGCCTCAGCATGAAAACTCACCTCCCGGGTTACCAGGGTCGCCGTGATTTTGCCAAGTAAGACATGTTCCTGGATAAACATCTTTTGTTGATCCTGGATCAACATTACTGTCCAAAAATATAGACTAAACCCAATCCCTACCCCTAAACCTACCCCTACCCATAATTTATTCCTAAAATCAGTGTGAAATGATAGCTGATTAACAAGGGTAGAAGCACCTAACCCTGATCGTAAGCCTAAAACAGATATTTCCTGAAAAGTTATCCCTTAATTCTGATCGGTTAATTGGAATGTTGTTCCAGGATCAACAAGGATGTTGATCCAGGAACATGTACTTGGTGAAATCACGGTCACCGGTTGCCAGAGGTACACAGAAATCCTAACTTTTGAATTTGCGTGAGTGTGTGACGTTCTAGGACGTTTATTTGAGGAGTTCTCTGTCTAAAAGTATGGGCCAAAATAATGACAATAAAAACCCAATAAACCTATATTTTAAATCATAAATAGAACTAGATTTATTTTAATGGAACAAAGTGCATGAAAAGTTACTCGGGAACTAAACACAGAATACGTTTATCATTTTGCAAGTGGAGAGAAAATGCTCAAATAAGCCTTAAAATATACTATTTTAAACAACGTTTAATTAAGTGTTTGGTGAAAACCATGGGTCGAGAAAATGATGTGTATACACATTCATGTATGCTTTTAAAGGCAAATGTACTCTGAAATGTGGTACTTTGATATGATATGGATTAGTCATAATATGGATTAATCGCTCCTTCATGTATTATTCTCATTTGTAAGTCACATTGGATAAAAGCGTCTGCTAAACGAATAAATAAAAAACAAGCACAATCTTTAACCATTAGCATATACGAAGCTCTTGGAAATTTATAGGGTTCGTATGTTTTCGTATGTTTGTCTTTGTCATAAATATATGCTTACATTGTAGAATGTCTTATACACCTTTACTTCTTGCTTTTATGTATTATTCTTTTGGCTGCGCCCTCTGGTGGTCAATTGTGGCATGGCATGACTTCCAGCTGCTCAGTGGCCTTTTTAACTGGACATTTGCCTACGTCATCATACTGAAACAAAGACCCATAATAAATCAAGAATCATAACTCGGCTCTTTAAAACTGTGTAAAAATATAAACTATAAATGAGTGTGAGTATTATAGGTAAAGTGTGCACGGAAGAGCTGCGTCTACGCTGGTCTAGTTATACAGACAGGTATACAGACAGACTAAGTCAAGTCAAGTCAAGTCTGCTTTATTGGCAATTCTTCCACATGTACAGCACATACACACAGAGAATTGAAATTGCGTTACTCTCAGACCCTTGGTGCATACAGATAACACTAACAGTAGAACATAAATACAGATAGATACAGATTAAATATAAAATACAACTATACAAATATACAAATAAGGTAAAATGTAAAAAAATATATATAAAGCAGCACAAGGCACATGGCAGATAGAGTGCAAACCAGTGAAGTAAACAACAGTGCAGATATAAATGTAAACACAAAGCCCGCCGCCGCGGGTCTTACCTCCCTCGACGCGACTAAAATCGTGGTCTAAACTTACAGTATCAGACTCTGGATGTGTCTAAAATCCTCACACAAATAAATGTTCTGCTTTAAGTCATTAACAAAATCGCACTCAGTGAAAGAGGCGCCATTCAGCACCGTGGACAGCTACACGACAGGAACGATCATCTCGACCATAAGTAACACTTTTCTAGCCTTGCGTTGTATATATTTATTTAAACCACTTTAAATCGAATTAAAACAACCTTTTGTCATATGTTAAATCTACTTCATCATCCTAAGCAAACGTAAAGGACTAAATCTGTTCTTAAAAAATACAATTATGTCATAGTGTTGGGCGATATATGCTCCATACTAGTCATATCGTCCTACTGTCAGCCTGTGAGATCGCCGATACACGATATTATCGTGCTAATGTATTTATTTAATTATTTACGTACTTTCATAATTTTAATTATTTTACGTAGTTTCATAGCCGGAGAGTGAACCAACACTAGCGTACGGATAAAAGCAGCCTAATGTTAGTGCAATCTATCAACTACACATTATCTTTTTAGTCAAGTAGCATAGATGTCATGTCATAAAATATTTGAATATGACTGAATTTGTATTTAACATGATAACAGTTTAATAGAAACATTGTAAGTTACTAATTATAATGCTTACATTTTCTCAGTTATTCAAACAGAATAACTACAGAAATGAGCAAAGAACATTCACATTATCTAAGAACATCATCACTGACTTCAGTCTAGCGAGTTCACTGATTATAACTCCCGTTAAAAGATGAATAAATCTGATGAATATAAATGATGAATAAATCTTTTATACGTACATAGCACGTACAGCTGCACTTTGTTGTTTATGATTAGACAATTCGCAAGAGAGCAGAATTCAGTCAGCGAGCGCGCACACTGAACAACAAAATTCCGTTTCAGCGATGACTCATCTGGACGCTTCTGATTGGGCGCTGCATTCATAAACTCAACGGAATCGTGTGTGATTAGTTATAACGCGCAACACTGTAGAAACGCGGAAAAAGAAATATGATGGAACAAATAAAGCCGTAATATTAAGTAGATAGTATTACTGTATTACTCAGATAGTATACCTGATAATAATAATAATCGTCTTTATATTGTCTATCGGCACAACCCTATTCTGTCATCATTTACTTAACTTCATGTCGTTCCAAACATTACATGTATGACGTTCTTTCTTCTGCCAAACGCTAAAGAAGATTTTGAGGAATGCTTCAGCTGTTTTTGACTATACATATGAAAGTGAGTAGGTTCATAAAACAACATTAGACCTATACTGACATTCACTGTGTGTGAAAAGCACTGAGACATTTGTCTAAACATCTTCTTTTTTGTTCCACAGTAGCAAGTCATGAGAACTGCTTGGGTGAACTATCCCTTTATGGCTAGGCTATATGATAAATCTTCATCAACATGTACTCTAACATATTCAGTCCATTTCTATATATTTTAAGTATTTATTCGGCCACTTATGTAAATGTAATTACTGAAACTGAAAAATCATAATAGAAATAGAAATGACAAAAATTATTGTTAAAAGGCAGATGACTTGAAACAAAGATGTTGTTATAAAATAATAATGAAATAATTTCTGTATTTCATCAAAATGAATTTTCACAGTTAAGTTTTTCCACATCACACAATGTTCCGGAACATTTCATAATTATAGGCCTATTCATTTAAGGTTCTTAATGGCCCTGCAGTAAAAACGTAAGTTAAAATGTATGTTTCTTGTCTGATCTTTACAGACAAATCCATAATCAGAGTGTGTTGAAGGGGTCATATGATGCGATTTCAATTTTTCCTTTCTCTTTCAAGTGTTACAAGCTCTTGGTGCATAAAGAAGATCTGTAAAGTTGCAAAGGCTAAAGTCTCAAATCCAAAGAGATATTCTTTATAAAAGTTAAGAGTCAATCACGCCTACCTAAAACGTCTCATTCTAACACGCCCCCACATGTCTATGTCACGATGTGGGAAGATTTGCATAATGCCGCCCAAATGTTCACACAAAGAAAGAAGGCGTAACTTTTATTCTCGCTGTAGTTGCTGCCGCCATGTCGTGAAGACGCTGTGTTTCGTTGTGAAAGCGAAACTGCTTTGTTTGGCCTTCAAAAAGAGGACGATATCCGCTTCATCATGCCTAGAGCTGATCCCTGCTGGTCGCTGAGGAAATACATCAACTTTGCGCTGTGGATTGCCGGATCAGCTTTCACCGTGGAAAGTCCAGCCCGGGGTCGTCACATGTAGTTGCCGCAAGCCCGCCGGCCGCCGCTCACTCAAGGTCGCCGTGTGTGATGCTGTGTTTCGATGTGAAAGCGAAGCTACTTTGTTTGGCCTTCCAAAAGAGGACCCAACTAGAAATCAATGGTTAAGTTGTATTTACAACACTGTTCCAGAACAGTTCAACCCTAATATTCAGATGTGTGCAGCACATTTTATGGAGGACTGTTTCCTGATCCTGGTAGAGTAGACCACAGTGCCGGCTGTTCTGACTCACAGACTGTAAGTACGTTTTTTATATATAAAGAATTTGCCACTGATGA